TCATCGGTGATAATAATAATTTGCGATTCCAAGCGTGCAAAGCGGCAAAAATCGGTATTGTGTTGCGTTATGTGAATTTAGAAAGTGTAAAGTCTTCAGGAGTCTCACCCGAAGAGACGTGGTTATTAGCTTTTTGTCTGGACGATTTATTTAGGGTCGTACCTTTGACGATTCATGTGGCTGAAGAACCGATCGATCGAGCGCGATCGAAAACGTTATAAAGGCAGCAGTGCACAAAATTTGTCATTTCAACGTACAACCACGTCTTTTGGCTTTAAATGTGCGTAAATCAATGCGGTTTTCATGCAGTATCGTTTATTTTATGTGTCATTGAAGTCTAGCCCCCCTTCCCCAAAAACATCCCCAAAGTTGTGAGTAACGCGAAAAAGTTATTATTTCGTGAAAATTATAATGAAAAAATGCGGTTTTTGCGTTAATCGCATAAGACAAACATACCTCAAGTGTCCTTGAGTGGACATGGCATTAACTCGTGGTTTACCTCAAAAAAAATATATAGATATAAAAAATTACTATGTTGAATCAGATCGGAAACCCGTAATTGTTGAAAATCATCTTACGCCCAAAATTTTTTCGCGGATATCTGGTCAACTTAACGTGTTCTAACAGCCCATGGTAGTCGTTTGCTCGAGCGGGGTCCGGAACATACTTTTTCAGGGTTAGGGTGGGTTTACATGCCGTTCGCGCTAAAAAAATTATATTTCAAAAAAATTGGCTTACGCCCAAAATTTTTTTGTGCGAATCGTGTTTATTTAACATGTTCTAACATCCCACCAAGCCGTTTCCCCCAGGGGGGTCCGGAACACCCCGATCCGCACTTCGATCAGAATTCGAAAAAACACCTGTCATTTTTCAAAATCGCTTTACGCCCAAAATTTTTTCACTGATATCCGCTCAACTTAACGTGTTCTAACAGCCCATGATAGTCGATCGCTCGAGCGGGGTCCGGAACATACTTTTTCAGAGTTAGGGTGGGTTTATATGGCGTCCTCACGAAAAAAAATATATTTCAAAAAAATTGGCTTACGCCCAAAATTTTTTTATGCGAATCGTGTTTATTTAACATGTTCTAACATCCCACCAAGCCGTTTCCCCCAGGGGGGTCCGGAACACCCCGATCCGCACTTCGATCAGAATTCGAAAAAACACCTGTCATTTTTCAAAATCGCTTTACGCCCAAAATTTTTTCACTGATGTCCGGTCAACTTAACGTGTTCTAACAGCCCATGGTAGTCGTTTGCTCGAGCGGGGTCCGGAACATACTTTTTCAGGGTTAGGGTGGGTTTACATGCCGTTCGCGCTAAAAAAATTATATTTCAAAAAAATTGGCTTACGCCCAAAATTTTTTTGTGCGAATCGTGTTTATTTAACATGTTCTAACATCCCACCAAGCAGTTTTCTCCAGGGGGGTCCGGAACACCCCGATCCGCACTTCGATCAGAATTCGAAAAAACACCTGTCATTTTTCAAAATCGCCTTACGCCCAAAATGTTTTCACTGATATCCGGTCAACTTAACGTGTTCTAACAGCCCATGATAGTCGATCGCTCGAGCGGGGTCCGGAACATACTTTTTCAGAGTTAGGGTGGGTTTATATGGCGTCCTCACGAAAAAAAATATATTTCAAAAAAATTGGCTTAAGGCCAAAATTTTTTTGTGCGAATCGTGTTTATTTAACATGTTCTAACATCCCACCAAGCCGTTTCCCCCAGGGGGGTCCGGAACACCCCGATCCGCACTTCGATCAGAATTCGAAAAAACACCTGTCATTTTTCAAAATCGCTTTACGCCCAAAATTTTTTCACTGATGTCCGGTCAACTTAACGTGTTCTAACAGCCCATGATAGTCGATCGCTCGAGCGGGGTCCGGAACATACTTTTTCAGAGTTAGGGTGGGTTTATATGGCGTCCTCACGAAAAAAAATATATTTCAAAAAAATTGGCTTAAGGCCAAAATTTTTTTGTGCGAATCGTGTTTATTTAACATGTTCTAACATCCCACCAAGCCGTTTCCCCCAGGGGGGTCCGGAACACCCCGATCCGCACTTCGATCAGAATTCGAAAAAACACCTGTCATTTTTCAAAATCGCTTTACGCCCAAAATTTTTTCACTGATATCCGGTCAACTTAACGTGTTCTAACAGCCCATGATAGTCGATCGCTCGAGCGGGGTCCGGAACATACTTTTTCAGAGTTAGGGTGGCTTTACATGGCGTTCGCGCTAAAAAAATTATATTTCAAAAAAATTGGCTTACGCCCAAATTTTTTTTGTGCAAATCGTGTTTATTTAACATGTTCTAACATCCCACCAAGCCGTTTCCCCCAGGGGGGTCCGGAACACCCCGATCCGCACTTCGATCAGAATTCGAAAAAACACCTGTCATTTTTCAAAATCGCTTTACGCCCAAAATTTTTTCACTGATATCCGGTCAACTTAACGTGTTCTAACAGCCCATGATAGTCGATCGCTCACGCGGGGTCCGGAACATACTTTTTCAGACTTAGGGTGGGTTTATATGGCGTCCTCACGAAAAAAAATGTATTTCAAAAAAATTGGCTTACGCCCAAAATTTTTTTGTGCGAATCGTGTTTATTTAACATGTTCTAACATCCCACCAAGCCGTTTCCCCCAGGGGGGTCCGGAACACCCCGATCCGCACTTCGATCAGATTTCGAGAAAACACCTGTCATTTTTCAAAATCGCTTTACGCCCAAAATTTTTTCACTGAAATCCGGTCAACTTAACGTGTTCTAACAGCCCATGATAGTCGATTGCTCTAGCGGGGTCCGGAACATACTTTTTCAGAGTTAGGGTGAGTTTACCTGGCGTTCGCGCTAAAAAAATTATATTTCAAAAAAATTGGCTTACGCCCAAAATTTTTTTGTGCGAATCGTGTTTATTTAACATGTTCTAACATCCCACCAAGCCGTTTCCCCCAGGGGGGTCCGGAACACCCCGATCCGCACTTCGATCAGAATTCGAAAAAACACCTGTCATTTTTCAAAATCGCTTTACGCCCAAAATTTTTTCACTGATATCCGGTCAACTTAACGTGTTCTAACAGCCCATGATAGTCGATCGCTCGAGCGGGGTCCGGAACATACTTTTTCAGAGTTAGGGTGGGTTTATATGGCGTCCTCACGAAAAAAAATGTATTTCAAAAAAATTGGCTTACGCCCAAAATTTTTTTGTGCGAATCGTGTTTATTTAACATGTTCTAACATCCCACCAAGCCGTTTCCCCCAGGGGGGTCCGGAACACACCGATCCGCACTTCGATCAGAATTCGAAAAAACACCTGTCATTTTTCAAAATCGCTTTACGCCCAAAATTTTATCACTGATATCCGGTCAACTTAACGTGTTCTAACAGCCCATGGTAGTCGATCGCTCGAGCGGGGTCCGGAACATACTTTTTCAGAGTTAGGGTGGGTTTACATGGCGTACGCGCTAAAAAAATTATATTTCAAAAAAATTGGCTTACGCCCAAAATTTTTTTGTGCGAATCGTGTTTATTTAACATGTTCTAACATCCCACCAAGCCGTTTCCCCCAGGGGGGTCCGGAACACCCCGATCCGCACTTCGATCAGAATTCGATCAAACACCTGTCATTTTTCAAAATCGCTTTACGCCCAAAATTTTTTTACTGATATCCGGTCAACTTAACGTGTTCTAACAGCCCATGATAGTCGATCGCTCGAGCGGGGTCCGGAACATACTTTTTCAGAGTTAGGGTGGGTTTACGTGGCGTTCTCACAAAAAAAATTATATTTCTAATAATTGACCAAATGTTTTTTACAGTGCTCCAGTGGATGACCACTGCCCGCACCAGTGGCCATTTATATACCTTATTGAAGGCGATACTCAATACATTTTTAAAAACAAAGATATAGAGCAGATGTTTTGTTGCGATGTGATCAGTTCGGCAATAGGAATTGTCGACTGATGACATCTCAGGTCGATACTGTAGTTATTATTTTTTTTAAAACTTTGAGGTTTGCGGCAAACAGACCCTGTTGCTTCAAAATGTATAATTGCTCCTCTAGGTGGAACTATGTTAACTCGAATTCGGTATAGACGAGAACTGCTAGCGACATATCGCAAATAAGGGTCAAGCTGGTTATGCTGCTTAATGCAATATTGAAACAAATCGGATAAGTCCCGCGAACTGAGCAGCAGTCTGTTCCCGCGTTTTGTTTCGGATGCAATTTTGTGGTAGGTGGTAAATTGGGAAATGTCTTGCGGATGCCCATCTTTGAGCAGTTCTTTGTCGGTTTTAGATATCACCTCTAGTTGGTAATCGCGGACACTACGATATTTAAGCCAGTTGTTTATTCTCTGAACCCCTTGCTTATTGAAACTGCACATCATCACCAGCCCGACCAATATCGGACGCAGAAAATTTGAAATACTGAGTCGAGTACATTTGGCATATATAGCACAATTGTTCCGATTGCGCCTAAAAGAATATAATGCCAAAAAACACGCATATTTTAACGATCTCCCTGTCATTTTTTATTTCAGTTGATAGAATAGTGAAATTGTCGATTTCGGCCGGGTACTGCTTACCTTTTTCGATTAAATATAACCGTTAATAGCCACCATGCTCGCACATGAAATTTTTGATATGCCTAGGCACTAGTTCACTTCATCCACCAACTTCACGATATCACACATCACACGTGCAACACTCACTTTTTCGCGAAATTCGTTTGCAGACATTGCAGTATTTTGAAGAAATACTGTAACCCGAGATGCCCAACGACACAAACACAACTAAATTATGCCAATAAAAATTTACCTATATGTATCCTTGTTTTACAACCTATACCTGTACGTATCCTTTTTGCTTATACAACCTGAGGATTACATAAAATTCCGTTACAATTGTCTATATTACCCCGACATTCCTGCAAACAGCCCAACGGCACGTATTTACTACCTGCATCCGGTACCTTTGCTGGGGACACAAAGTGATTACATTAGTATATATTATAGATTTTGATGTGGGATTCTAAATCGGCGACCTGGTCGCGGTTGTCGACAAACATATGTATACACGGATTTGAAAAATAATCATACTAATGAGGTTCTCTCAGCTAATGATAAGGCCATGTAAAGAAACTGATAATTTCATCTCACCGTAATCAATACCTGTTCAATATTGATTAAGTGTACATTCTGCGACTTACACGGATACACCTATTAAAATCGCTTTTATTTCACTATATTGTTACATTCTGTATTACAAATACACAAAACCAATATTGTATAGTTTATTCAATAACATTCACATCCGCCTGAGGTGATCATGAGCTATCAGAACACATTAAGTTGACCGGATATCAGTGAAAAAAATTTTTGCGTAAAGCGATTTTGAAAAATGACAGGTGTTTTCTCGAAATCTGATCGAAGTGCGGATCGGGGTGTTCCGGACCCCCCTGGGGGAAACGGCTTGGTGGGATGTTAGAACATGTTAAATAAACACGATTCGCATAAAAAAATTTTGGGCGTAAGCCAATTTTTTTGAAATATATTTTTTTTCGTGAGGACGCCATATAAACCCACCCTAACTCTGAAAAAGTATGTTCCGGACCCCGCTCGAGCGATCGACTATCATGGGCTGTTAGAACACGTTAAGTTGACCGGATATCAGTGAAAAAATTTTGGGCGTAAAGCGATTTTGAAAAATGACAGGTGTTTTTTCGAATTCTGATCGAAGTGCGGATCGGGGTGTTCCGGACCCCCCTGGGGGAAACGGCTTGGTGGGATGTTAGAACATGTTAAATAAACACGATTCGCACAAAAAAATTTGGGCGTAAGCCAATTTTTTTGAAATATAATTTTTTTAGCGCGAACGGCATGTAAACCCACCCTAACCCTGAAAAAGTATGTTCCGGACCCCGCTCGAGCAAACGACTACCATGGGCTGTTAGAACACGTTAAGTTGACCGGATATCAGTGAAAAAATTTTGGGCGTAAAGCGATTTTGAAAAATGACAGGTGTTTTTTCGAATTCTGATCGAAGTGCGGATCGGGGTGTTCTGGACCCCCCTGGGGGAAACGGCTTGGTGGGAAGTTAGAACATGTTAAATAAACACGATTCGCACAAAAAAATTTTGGGCTTAAGCCAATTTTTTTGAAATATATTTTTTTTCGTGAGGACGCCATATAAACCCACCCTAACTCTGAAAAAGAATGTTCCGGACCCCGCTCGAGCGATCGACTATCATGGGCTGTTAGAACACGTTAAGTTGACCGGATATCAGTGAAAAAATTTTGGGCGTAAAGCGATTTTGAAAAATGACAGGTGTTTTTTCGAATTCTGATCGAAGTGCGGATCGGGGTGTTCCGGACCCCCCTGGGGGAAACGGCTTGGTGGGATGTTAGAACATGTTAAATAAACACGATTCGCACAAAAAAATTTTGGGCGTAAGCCAATTTTTTTGAAATATAATTTTTTTAGCGCGAACGCCATGTAAACCCACCCTAACTCTGAAAAAGTATGTTCCGGACCCCGCTCGAGCGATCGACTATCATGGGCTGTTAGAACACGTTAAGTTGACCGGATATCAGTGAAAAAATTTTGGGCGTAAAGCGATTTTGAAAAATGACAGGTGTTCTCTCGAAATCTGATCGAAGTGCGGATCGGGGTGTTCCGGACCCCCCTGGGGGAAACGACTTGGTGGGATGTTAGAACATGTTGAATAAACACGATTCGCACAAAAAAATTTTGGGCGTAAGCCAATTTTTTTGAAATATAATTTTTTTAGCGCGAACGCCATGTAAACCCACCCTAACTCTGAAAAAGTATGTTCCGGACCCCGCTCGAGCGATCGACTATCATGGGCTGTTAGAACACATTAAGTTGACCGGATATCAGTGAAAAAATTTTGGGCGTAAAGCGATTTTGAAAAATGACAGGTGTTTTCTCGAAATCTGATCGAAGTGCGGATCGGGGTGTTCCGGACCCCCCTGGGGGAAACGACTTGGTGGGATGTTAGAACATGTTGAATAAACACGATTCGCACAAAAAAATTTTGGGCGTAAGCCAATTTTTTTGAAATATAATTTTTTTAGCGCGAACGCCATGTAAACCCACCCTAACTCTGAAAAAGTATGTTCCGGACCCCGCTCGAGCGATCGACTAACATGGGCTGTTAGAACACGTTAAGTTGACCGAATATCAGTGAAAAAATTTTGGGCGTAAAGCGATTTTGAAAAATGACAGGTGTTTTTTCGAATTCTGATCGAAGTGCGGATCGGGGTGTTCCGGACCCCCCTGGGGGAAACGACTTGGTGGGATGTTAGAACATGTTGAATAAACACGATTCGCACAAAAAAATTTTGGGCGTAAGCCAATTTTTTTGAAATATAATTTTTTTAGCGCGAACGCCATGTAAACCCACCCTAACTCTGAAAAAGTATGTTCCGGACCCCGCTCGAGCGATCGACTATCATGGGCTGTTAGAACACATTAAGTTGACCGGATATCAGTGAAAAAATTTTGGGCGTAAAGCGATTTTGAAAAATGACAGGTGTTTTCTCGAAATCTGATCGAAGTGCGGATCGGGGTGTTCCGGACCCCCCTGGGGGAAACGACTTGGTGGGATGTTAGAACATGTTAATAAACACGATTCGCACAAAAAAATTTTGGGCGTAAGCCAATTTTTTTGAAATATAATTTTTTTAGCGCGAACGCCATATAAACCCACCCTAACTCTGAAAAAGTATGTTCCGGACCCCGCTCGAGCGATCGACTATCATGGGCTGTTAGAGCACGTTAAGTTGACCGGATATCAGTGAAAAAATTTTGGGCGTAAAGCGATTTTGAAAAATGACAGGTGTTTTTTCGAATTCTGATCGAAGTGCGGATCGGGGTGTTCCGGACCCCCCTGGGGGAAACGGCTTGGTGGGATGTTAGAACATGTTAAATAAACACGATTCGCACAAAAAAATTTTGGGCGTAAGCCAATTTTTTTGAAATATAATTTTTTTAGCGCGAACGCCATGTAAACCCACCCTAACTCTGAAAAAGTATGTTCCGGACCCCGCTCGAGCGATCGACTATCATGGGCTGTTAGAACACGTTAAGTTGACCGGATATCAGTGAAAAAATTTTGGGCGTAAAGCGATTTTGAAAAATGACAGGTGTTTTTTCGAATCTGATCGAAGTGCGGATCGGGGTGTTCCGGACCCCCCTGGGGGAAACGACTTGGTGGGATGTTAGAACATGTTAAATAAACACGATTCGCACAAAAAAATTTTGGGCGTAAGCCAATTTTTTTGAAATATAATTTTTTTAGCGCGAACGCCATGTAAACCCACCCTAACTCTGAAAAAGTATGTTCCGGACCCCGCTCGAGCGATCGACTATCATGGGCTGTTAGAACACATTAAGTTGACCGGATATCAGTGAAAAAATTTTGGGCGTAAAGCGATTTTGAAAAATGACAGGTGTTTTCTCGAAATCTGATCGAAGTGCGGATCGGGGTGTTCCGGACCCCCCTGGGGGAAACGACTTGGTGGGATGTTAGAACATGTTGAATAAACACGATTCGCACAAAAAAATTTTGGGCGTAAGCCAATTTTTTTGAAATATAATTTTTTTAGCGCGAACGCCATGTAAACCCACCCTAACTCTGAAAAAGTATGTTCCGGACCCCGCTCGAGCGATCGACTAACATGGGCTGTTAGAACACGTTAAGTTGACCGAATATCAGTGAAAAAATTTTGGGCGTAAAGCGATTTTGAAAAATGACAGGTGTTTTTTCGAATTCTGATCGAAGTGCGGATCGGGGTGTTCCGGAGCCCCCTGGGGGAAACGACTTGGTGGGATGTTAGAACATGTTGAATAAACACGATTCGCACAAAAAAATTTTGGGCGTAAGCCAATTTTTTTGAAATATAATTTTTTTAGCGCGAACGCCATGTAAACCCACCCTAACTCTGAAAAAGTATGTTCCGGACCCCGCTCGAGCGATCGACTATCATGGGCTGTTAGAACACGTTAAGTTGACCGGATATCAGTGAAAAAATTTTGGGCGTAAAGCGATTTTGAAAAATGACAGGTGTTTTCTCGAATCTGATCGAAGTGCGGATCGGGGTGTTCCGGACCCCCCTGGGGGAAACGACTTGGTGGGATGTTAGAACATGTTAATAAACACGATTCGCACAAAAAAATTTTGGGCGTAAGCCAATTTTTTTGAAATATAATTTTTTTAGCGCGAACGCCATGTAAACCCACCCTAACTCTGAAAAAGTATGTTCCGGACCCCGCTCGAGCGATCGACTATCATGGGCTGTTAGAACACGTTAAGTTGACCGGATATCAGTGAAAAAATTTTGGGCGTAAAGCGATTTTGAAAAATGACAGGTGTTTTTTCGAATTCTGATCGAAGTGCGGATCGGGGTGTTCCGGACCCCCCTGGGGGAAACGGCTTGGTGGGATGTTAGAACATGTTAAATAAACACGATTCGCACAAAAAAATTTTGGGCGTAAGCCAATTTTTTTGAAATATAATTTTTTTAGCGCGAACGCCATGTAAACCCACCCTAACTCTGAAAAAGTATGTTCCGGACCCCGCTCGAGCGATCGACTATCATGGGCTGTTAGAACACGTTAAGTTGACCGGATATCAGTGAAAAAATTTTGGGCGTAAAGCGATTTTGAAAAATGACAGGTGTTTTTTCGAATCTGATCGAAGTGCGGATCGGGGTGTTCCGGACCCCCCTGGGGGAAACGGCTTGGTGGGATGTTAGAACATGTTAAATAAACACGATTCGCACAAAAAAATTTTGGGCGTAAGCCAATTTTTTTGAAATATAATTTTTTTAGCGCGAACGCCATGTAAACCCACCCTAACTCTGAAAAAGTATGTTCCGGACCCCGCTCGAGCGATCGACTATCATGGGCTGTTAGAACACGTTAAGTTGACCGGATATCAGTGAAAAAATTTTGGGCGTAAAGCGATTTTGAAAAATGACAGGTGTTTTTTCGAATTCTGATCGAAGTGCGGATCGGGGTGTTCCGGACCCCCCTGGGGGAAAC